TAACTGCATTTACAAATATGAAGGCATAAACTCTTCAGAGTGAATAACTCCTCTCTTTTCCAGCTGCATGCCCCAATGTATGAAATACAATAGACCATTGAAAAATAGTCCCACTTACTAATTCAAATCTAAATAATGTAATTAAATATTAAACCCTAAAATTCTTAAACCTTGCTGAGAGTTGCCTAATTTTAAGAAAAATTGCATTTCTCTGTGTAATACTGGTAAACCTTCAAAAAGAGGGTAGATTATAGAATATTAATAATTATGAAATATTTATAGGGTATCATTACAGGTGAAGCACTGTGCAAAGTAAAGAATATACAAATATTAATAGCAAGACAGTGCTGATGTCTCTGAGCAGCTCAAACTGAGTGGAGGCAGTTTGCACATTAAAAACAAAGCAGAATAAAACAAAACAAAATAAATCTCATGCAGTCATAGGCAGACTCTGATAACAAGTGGAAGGAACAATCAGCAAACCCAGCCTAGAGCTAAAGAAGTAATGACTTCTAGATAAAAGATGTTGACGATGGATTCACAAGGGAAATTATGTGACATTTGAAGGTTGGGGGTATTAAAGAGAAGCCTGGTATTCACAGGGACTGTTTGAACACAGGCATGAAGTTTATTCTTTTTTAAAGATTTTATTTATTTATCGGGGGGGGGTGGGCACAAGCAGGGGGAGGAGTAGGTAGAGGGAGAGGAAGGCTCCCCACTGAGCAAGGAGCTCACTGGGGGACCCGATCCCAGGATCCTGGGATCATGACTTGAGCCAAAGGCAGAGGCTTAACTGACTGAGCCACCCAGGTATCCCATGGCATGACGTTTAAAAGTGAAGACATTTACAATGTGAAATAAAATAATGAAAATAAAGTGATAGGTGTTCATTGAGAGAAATAAGGGCCCAAAGTCAGTTTGGAATTAGCTAATATGTCAGATTGATAAGTTTTGTTTTATTTTGATGTTGTTCTCTACCTTTTTAAAAAGCATAAAATAATATGTATAATCTATACTCACACACTTCTTTTGAATTGTTTCCTTTGCCCATTATTTTCTGTCTTGCTTAGATGTGCTTCAGGCAATAACATATTCTTCATAGGACTGTAAACTTTAACCAAATTACTACAAACAATCTTTTAAATTTCACTCTCCTAAGCAACACATGCAACTGAGATATTTATAAATATAAGGAACCAGATAGATAGATAAACAGCTAGATATAGACTGTGTAGAATAAGACTTTTAATCTGGATTTTACATGAAAGGGTTGCAATTTGGTAAAATGACATAGAAAGCACTTTTAGGGTTGTATAGATTAAGGATGGGGCCTGTGTCGGAAAATAATGAAATAGAATAGCAATGAACCTTCTGGACTAAAACATTGAGGAAAGGCAAACTAAGATGATTCTATTCAGGACATTGACAAATGGCATAATGGACAAAAATATTGTCCAAGTTTTATTTATTAGACCCCAGATATTTACCTAGCTTGCTCTTTCACGCCTGTTCAAATACCACCTCTTAGAGAAGCTGTCCTGGAGTATTCTACTTAAAATAGCTGAATATAGGTTTAGAATGGAATGGAGTTCTTAAAAAGGAGAAAAAAAATAAAAATTTAGAAAAACCAGCAATATATGTATTGGAAATATTCTTTGATACTACTACCAGAAATACTGCTACCAGAACTGAATAAATGCATATATTCTGCTTAGATAATAATCGTTAGGAAGATCAGATACTATCAGGGGCTCTAGAGTTAGATATATTAGTCATCACTTGAGATAGGTATCTATGCCAAAAATTAACTTTTGGCAAGAGACAATATAACTTGAAATAATCAATAGTGTTACAGAGCTCTGTTTGGTTAGATTAATTGATCATTTTTTCTTCCAAACTTGCTTTCCATTTGAATTAGGTGAGTCTGTTGGACTCATATTTATTCTGAATTTAATGCATATTTTAAAAGGTATATTGAGTGATTAATTGATTAATTGGATCATTTACAATTACTTTTGTCATATATAGTGATATAGTAAAGGAATTTAGATGATCCTTCATGACAATGTTTTATATTATTTATATTAGCAAGTTATATCACAGTACCATTCTAGCAAATATGAAAATGACTAAATAATTGTATATTATGGTGGGAGAAATCAAAGTGTGTAGAGATTAATGGTTTAGTGAAGACCACTGATAATGCCATGGATAGAAGTTGGAGAAAAAGGGCGCCTGGGTGGCTCAGTCGGTTAAGCGACTGCCTTCGGCTCAGGTCATGATCCTGGAGTCCCGGGATCGAGTCCCGCATCGGGCTCCCTGCTCGGCGGGGAGTCTGCTTCTCCCTCTCACCCTCCTCCCTCTCGTGCTGTCTCTTATTCTCTCTCAAATAAATAAATAAAAATCTTTAAAAAAAAAAAAAAAGAAGTTGGAAAAAAAGAATGATTATTTGTCTTAGTTCTAGTATTTCTTGCAACAAAGTATACGTAATTTCTGTCAGTGAGATCATTGTTGTTTTCTGCATTAAGCCCTAGAGCAGATTTAAACATGTCTGTAGAGATAATTATAATAAGAGAAAGGAAGCATTTTGATAAAATATTTTATTATTATTAATAATAATAATATAATCATGGTTATAAAAATAGCAACTTTATTACCTACAGAAACTTTATATACAAGTCATAACCACAGTGTTCCCTTTTTGGGTAAGCATCCAGCTATACCACTAAACAGGCAGCTTATCAATTTCCTATTTACACCAAGACAAACAGTCATAACATCCATAGTATTCCATTTTCAGTTTCCTAAAGACAGAAACTTTCTGTGCAAATGGAAATGAACCTACTTAAAATTACACTGTCAAGATTTTTGTGACCAGAAAATTTTAACTTTTTTTTGTATTAGTAAATTCTTAGTACGAAACTCAGTTGAACGTTGAAAGAGAACTTCTTTTTGAACTTTATTGTGAAAAGTATTTCCACAAAGACTATGTCTTTTTATTCAAGTTAACTTTATCATTCAAATGAGTTTGTCTATAAATACAGGATATAATTAAAAGTTATCTTTGGAACCTTAGTAAATCAATTGAAAGTTTTTTTTAGTATGAGAGTTTATTAAAACTCTTTACCTCATGATTTCTATATTGCAATACCAGTCTTTCTTTTAAAAAAGAAAGAAAATATTTAGAAACAACAAAATGTCTGACAACAATTTCTCACTTCTTGACAGTGCTTTTTTTTTTTTTTTCCAAGAGAATGTTGTGGCTATAACATTCACTTTGTACAGTACCATTGGTACCAACAAGAAATATTCACAGGAATAAGTGAAATACAATTTTGCTATCACATGCCATTATTGTTATTTTTCTTGCCTTCCAGTGTCTCATGTTTCCCATAGTTTGAAACACTTAGATAGCAAGCAAGAGCCTGTTAATACTAGAGATTGACTCAATATAAACCATTTTACTGAGGACCTGCCCACAGCAAATAGGTAAAACTCATTACATATTTTACAATAAAATTAAAGAAGTATACAAAAGGACTATCATCCCTTCTGCACGGCAGAGGCATTATGACAAATATTTTAATTTTACATTACTATTCCTGGCAGACATAAGAAAATGTCCACAATTACAACAGCACATAACCATTATTCAAACAGCCCAAACAAAAATAACATTGAAAACTTCTAATTTAAAAGATCTTTTTGTCCATTACTCAAAATACAATCGATTTTGGCTAAGTTGGATTTTTCATTTTTTGATTGAATAAGAAAAGAATGCCCAGGAAATAGTATCTTTCGCCAGAGAAAAATGACATGATTATTCATTGTCCTACCACCTAAAATCACATGGATCTTGTTCATCTTGCTTTTATCGTCAATTCTACTGATCTCCCCTTATTACAAAGGGAACTTCTCAAAGCTAGGACTGCTTTGTGCACCATGTCTGATGTTTTATTGGTGGTATGTTTTCACACTTTAATGAAATGGAAAACACTGAGTTCAAAATATCTAAAAAGTTAGCTGCACCTTGTATCTAGGTAATCCCTATCTCTCTTTCCATGGAAATTTAGAGGAAAAGACAAGAAAGGAAATCTTAAAGTGTGAGTATTTAGACATATTAGAATTTCATAAATATTTTACAAACATCAATATAGGATTTGATCAAATTTTGCCAGTTCATCAAGAAAAAACTGAAAAACTATTTAATTTTGGGACAATACACCTTTGAAATTCCTAGTGTTTTGATTAAAATGATATATCCCATAAGGAAAGAAAAATACAAAGAAGATGATGTGGACTGACAACTTTTCGGATCTCTCTTTGCTTTCACTGTTTCTTGATACCAGAACATATCTTTTTACAATATGTTCAATTTGTATGGCACAATTTGGATAGATATTTCTGGGTTTGCATAGGTATTTCTGGATTTGCTGTCCTGTACTCTGTGGACTAAGCTTTCAAGTAAATTTAAGAGCATTTTACTCAAGATTGAACTGTGTCCTATGAAGCTTTGAGAGCATTGTTTGGATCTCTGGCCTTAATTGATGTCAGTCAAGAGAAACAAATTAGAGAAATGGGGATACTGGTTTGGAATCACTCAAATAATTATTTTTAAATTTGTACAGGGTGATTTTGTGAAAATTCACAGCCTATCCTATTAGAACTTTGTGTCTCATTTCTTGACAGATCCAGGGTTTTTAGTTAATCATGCCAAATACAATAATAAATATGATAATTTGGTATTATGAGACAGAATACAAAATTTGAATAGATATTCCCCCATGGCATTTGAAAGATTTATGTAAATGAAATAAGATAAAATGAAGATATTTTCACAAAATATTTCATTCTGCAGATATAAGTCCCCTTTAAAACATAATTGAATTCAGAGTTTAGACAAGCTAGTTCCTTTCATTTCCATTTTTTTTTTTTTTCCTTTACTTGAGTAAAGTCTCATTAGGCGAAAAAACTTTCAGGTTGAGAAAGGTATCCTGATATTTTTTTCTTCAACATATACTTTAATTCATAGTTTGATGAAAGTCCATTTACAAATCTTTGGGGACATATGGAAATTTTCCTCTGAAATAATTTTTAAAAATTTAAAGACGATGACCTCAAGCCAATCACAGCAGCAAGTCTTAGAATTAACCTACTTAAATAATTTTTTAAGCTTCAATTGGACAGTTACGTAAGAATAATAAAGAAAATACTTTAGGAAAGTAGATCTAAAAGTATCTTACATAAATAAGGTCCCTAAATTTGAAGGAAAGAAATAATACTAATACACATATTACCCTCTTCCCTTTAAGAATTAGAAACTACAAGATGACTAGGATGATAAATATATTTAAACACCTAGATTTGGTGTTACTTAACTTTGTGGGTCATGACCACACCTTAAATGTCAACCAGTAGAGGTCATCTGCAGATTACATACAGAGAATGAGCTGGTCACTTCTATCTTGCACCTTTCCTTAAAATTTCTACTGGTCTTTAAAATTTTCTATTTTTCTCTTAAGGAAAAACTACAGGTACACACTTTCAGAATATTTAGAGGTTACATTAGATATACCATGATTTGAACTCTAGTGCATGCACATGTGTACCAAGGTCTGCATAGATGGGCACATAATTTTGTAGAAAGGATGTAGACCAGTATTAGAGGATACACAGTGAGGAGGAATGAATGAAATATAATGTATGGTATATGAAAGGTAATATAATTTAATACAGAGTTACAACTTAAGGACAAAGGCATAAATTGTCTTTGTGAGGTTAAAATAATGTTTAACTTATGGTTTATTCATAAACTAACTTTGGAAAGCAGCGTAGAGATTAGTTGAACTTTTCCATTAAATCTTTTATCATCCAGCAATTATACCTTTGCAGTTTTTAATCCATTCAAGTATCTTCAGGAGATATGTTACTACACTTGCATGTACCTTAATTCACTTCAACATTTACAAAATAACACTGACAAACAAAACAACAGAAAACACCCATAAATATTAATGAGTATCTTAACAAACATGACACTCAAGTAGTTGTCTTAGGATTGCTTTAAGTGACATTTTAATTCCATGTTCTCTGAAATCTTCAGGTAAAAGAGAATTCTATTGATGGAAGATTCAGACACAGTTACATCAGCTACGACTGTGGTATCTTATACGTTAATATAATTTTGTGTATCCATTTTGCATAATATGCTACTCGGACAAAAATGCCAGGACGATTTGGAATGGCACATCCACGACCAGGAACAATGACACCAAGAACCATTCTCATTTTATGTTGTTCACAAACAAGTGGGCCACCATAATCTCCCTAGGAAGAAGACATGCAACAGTAACAACAACAACAAAAGTATTATTTTAGAAACAAAGTTAATAATTCATTAATATTTCCTATACAGATTTATATCTCAAATATGCACATATACAAGAAAAGACAATAGCTGCAACTGAGATATGAAGACATAAATAGATGTACTAGGCCAGTGGTCATCTTTCTATTGAATTACCCAAGTCAGACTGAGAGAAGTACAAACGTTAAAAGTGTTCTATCATGTGGAGTATTCATTTAAGAATGAAGTGTCTAGGGGCACCTGGGCGGCTCTTGATTTCAGCTCAGGTTGTGATCTCAGGGTCATGGGATCAAGCCCCACGTCAGGCTCCACACTCATCATGGAGTAGGCTTGTCCCTCTCCCTCTGCTCATCCCCCTGCTTGCACACTCTCTCTCTCAAATAAATAAATTAATTAATTATTTAAAATATATTTAAAAAGAATGACTTGTCTTATACAACATATTCACTCATCTTTTAAAATGGTTTTCGTCTTTGTTGAATACAGATTAATTAACACAAAACAACTGATAGCTATTTAGAAGGTAGACTTTATATTTACTTTTATTTTCTTCTGATGTTCAAAATATGTTCAATATAGAAAATTTAGAAAATGTAAAAAATACAAGAACTTTTGTGCTTTACCTATAATCATAGAGTTTTAATGATTAAAATGCTTAAAATTTCCCTTATTTCTAAAGCTTTTTACTTTCCTTCCTTCAATCTTGTCCCCAGAAAGATTTTAGAAAATTAAATACACATCATAATTGATAAAATAATTCTATTTACTGTTTGGAAATTATGTTCTGGGGCATAAAAAAAGAATATTCCTGCATTTACTGTTGTATTTGTAGTTAATATAGTTATATTTATATATTTTTTATATCTCATACCCCCCTTTGTAGAAGGTAGCCTCTAATTTCATGGCATTTTTTATATGGTTACCCTGTTTTATCATCAGACACAGATAGATGATAGATGAATAGATTGATAGATTGATATGTGTGTATATTCTTATAAACATGTATATATTAATGCATATTATTATATATAATTATTACAAATATGCTGCATCATTTTCATGCACTATGTAGCCTTCTAAGATTGCAATGACTGGCTTTTGGCATCCTTGTGTGAAGAAGAGTGTTTGAAACTACCTTAATTTTCTCTTAATAGTGATATGATGAGTTAAAATGAAACTATTAAGGAATTTAGTTCTGTAACAGGTGTAAAGAAGAGCACTATCAGCATTGTGCGATGGGGAATATCAAGATGGGGGTGAAGCAGGAGATAAAACAGTAGGGAAAATAGGTTATTCTAAGAGGCATATAAACTATGCCACATGAGTTAATAAATCTGATTTTTTAAAAATGCACCAGTGATTACTGATACAAACTCCTCATCAAAGCAATTCACTTTGGCAGACTTTCACCAAATGTGATCCTATTGCTATTATACAAACATTTGGGAGGTTTTCTTCAAATGTTTAGATTTCAGTGGCTTCAGGGATTATATTACCTTGTTTTAAATATAAGTGATATTAAAAAAAATTCTGGAGGATAAATGCATTTTTGAGAAATGGTAGAATCAACTTAAAATTGTCCTTCAATATGGATAAAATTAACAAATATATGATAATGTAATAAATAATTCAATGCTAAAGTTAGGAATCTAACAATGTATAAATGGTAAATCAGATCACAGGCAATTCCTGATGAGCGGTGGTTGAAGCATTTTTAGTAATGGCAGTAGGGCTGGATAAGTGCATAGATTCTTAAATGATCTTGAAGATTGGGTTGAGCTCAAAACTTTGTGTTTTAAAGGACTCTTAGTGTAAGTAGGTAGCTAAGTAAGAAATAAATAAATAGTAAATAAATAAATAAATTTCTCTTTCTCCTAGCAGATTTTCAGCTCTAATAATGAACAAAGTAATACTATTTACTAGGAAAACATCAAATTTGAAAGTGGTTATAAACGCATAACCTGTTTCTAACTATATCATTTTAAAGCAGTCGTTTAAACTCTTTTACTTATGAAACATATTTTTTCAGGAATAGTATCTCAGACCAATATATATAGCACATGCATGGAAAAAATATTTATGCCCCATATTTATTTTCCTACATGTCAAAAGATATTTCACTATTTATTGAACTCATTCCATGCCTTACCTCACATAGTATTCCCCAACTCCAAAGCTCCTAGGCTTGGAGACTGTGTCTCTTATATTCAAAATACATCTAAACACTCCAATCAAAAGACATAAGGTGACAGAATGGATAAAAAAGCATGACCCATGTTTATGCTGCTTAGAAGAGAATCATTTCAGACCTAAAGACATATGCAGATTGGACGTAAAGGGATGGAAAAACATTTATCATGCAAATGGAGGTGAAAAGAAAGCCAGGGGTAGCGATACTTATACAAAATAGACTTTAAAACAAAGACTGTAACAAGAGATGAAGAAGGACACTATATAATCATACAGGGAATAATCCAGCAAGAAGATATAATAATTGTAAATATTTATGTACCCAACATGGGAGCACCCTAATACATAAAGCAGCTAATAACAAACACAAAGGAAGTAATTGATAATATGCAATAATAGTAGGAAAACTTTAAGACCCCACTTACATCAATGGATAAATCATCCAAACAGAAAATCAAAAAAGAAACAGTGACTTTGAATGATACAATGGACCAGATGGATTTTACAGATATATTCAGAACATTCCATCCTAAAACAGCAGAATACACATTCTTTTCAATTACACATGTGACATTCTCCAGAATAGATCACATTTAAGGCCACAAGACAAGTCTCAATAAATTCAAAAAGATCAAAGTTGTACCATGCATGTTTTCCAACTGCAACACTATGAAACTGGAAATCAACCACAAGAAAAAATCTGGAAAGACCACAGATATATTTAGGTTAAATAACATGCTACTAAACAATGAATGGGTCAACCAAGAAATCAAAGAGAAAATAAAAAAATACATGGAGACTGAATATGAAAACCCAATGGTCTAAAATCTTTGGGATGCAACAAAAGCTATTCTAAAAGGGAAATCTATAGCCATATAAATACCTCACAAAAAGAAAAATCTCAAATAAACAACCTAATCTTACACCTAAAGGAGCTATAAAAAGAATAAACAAAACCCCAACCCATGGAATAATAAAGATTAGAACAGAAATAAACAAAAGAAACTAAACACACACACACAAAACAATAGAACAGATCAATGAAACTAGAAGCTGGCTCTTCGAAAAGATGAACACAATTAATAAACCTTTAGCCAGACTCATCATAGAGAGAGAGACAGAGAGACAGAGAGACAGAGAGACAGAGAAAGATAGAAAGAGGAATCAAATAAAATCAGAAATGAAGAGGAGAAATAACATCTGACACTACAGAAATACAAACAATTATAAGAGAATATTATGAAAAATTATATGCCAACAAATTAGACAACCTAGAAAAAATGGATAAATTCCTAGGAATATATAACTTCCCAAAATTGAATCAGGAAGAAATAGAAAATTTGAAAACAGACCAATTACCACCAATGAAATTAAATCAGTAGTAAAAAAAAAAAAAAAAAAAAACTCCAACAAATAAAAGTCCAGGAGCAGAAGACTTCACAGGTGAATCCTACCAAAGATTTAAAAAAGAATTAATACTGATTTTCAAACAATTCCAACAAATAGAAGAGGAAGAAAAGCTTTCAAATTCATTCTATGAAGTCAGCATTACCTTGATATCAAAATCAGATAAAGACACTACAGAAAAAGAGAAATATAGGCCAATATCTCTGATGAACATAGATGCAGAAATCCTCAGCAAAATATTAGCAAACCAAATCCAACAATACATTTAAAAATCATTCACCATGACCAACTGAGATTTACTCCTAGGATATAAGGGTGTTTCAATATTTGCAAATCAATCAACATGATACATCATATGAACAAGAGAATGGATAAAAACCATATGATTATTTCAATAGATATAGAGAAAACATTTGACAAAGTACAACATCTATTCATGATAAAAACCCTCAACAAAGTGGGTTTGGAGGGAACCTACCTCAACATCATATAGGCCATCTATGAAGAATCCATAGCTAATGTCATCCTCAATGGGGAAAAACTGAGAGCTTTTCCTATATTGTCAGGAATGAGACAGGGATGTCCACTCTCACCAATGTTATTTAAAATAGTACTGGAAATCCTAGCTACAGCAATCAGACACCAAAAAGAAAACAAAGGCATCCGAGGAAGAAATCAAACTTACACTATTTGCAGATGACATGATACTCTAAATAGAAAACCCTAAAGAGTCCACCAAAAAACTACTAGAACTGAAAAATGAATTCAGTGAGGTCACAGGATACAAAATCAATGTATGGAAATCTATTGCATTTCCATATACAAATTATGAAGTAGTAGAAAGAGAAATTAAGAAAACAATCCCATTTACAATTGCACCAAATATAGTAAAAGGAATAAACTTAACCAATGTAGTGAAAGACCTGTGTTCTGAAAACTATAAAACAATGATGAAAGAAATTGAAGATGACCCAGAGAAATGGAAAGATAGTCCATGTTTACAGACTGAGAGAACAAATATTGTTAAAATGTCCATGCTACACAGAGCAATCTATAGATTTAATGCAATCTCTATCAAAATATCAACAGCATTTTTTCACAGAACTAGAAAAAACAACCCTAAAATTTGTATGGAACCACAAAACACCCTGAATAGCCAAAGCAATTGAAAGAGAAGAACAAAACTGGAGGTATCACAAACCTAGATTTTAAGATATACTAGAAAGCTGTCATAATCAAAACTGTATGGTACTGGCAAAAAATAGACACATAGATCAATGGAACAGAATAGAAAATCCAGAAATAAGCCCACAATTATATAGTCAATTAATCTTCAACAAAGGAGGAAAGGAGATGCAATGGGAAAAGTCTCTTCAACAAATGGTGTTGGGAAAACTGGATAACTACACGCAAAAGAATGAAACTGGACCACTTTCTTACATCATACACAAAAATAAATTCAAAATGGATTAAGGACATAAATGTGAGACTTGAAACCATAAAAATCATAGAAGAGAGCACAGACAGTAATTTCTCTGAAATAAGCCATAGCAATAATTTTTCCAGATATGTCTCTTGAGGTAAGGGAAACAAAAGCAAAAATAAACTACTGGGACTACATCAAACATCAAAATAAAAAGTTTCTGCACAGTGAAGGAAACAGTCAACAGTGAAGGAAACAGTCAACTAAAAGGCTATCTAATGAATGGGGGAAGATATTTGCAAATGACATATCTGATGAAGGGTTAACATCCGAAATATATAAAGCTTATATAAGTCAACACCCAAAAAATGAGTAATTTTCCAATTGAAAAATGGTCAAAAGATATGAACAAATATTTCTCCAAAAATACACAGATGGCCAACAGACACATGAAAAGATTCTCAACATCACTCATCATCAGGGAAATGCAAATCAAAAGCACAATGAGATATCATCTCATACCTGTTAGAATGACTAAAATTAAAAACACTAGAAACAGCAAGTATTGGCCAGGGTGTGGAAAAACAAGGAACCCTCTTGTGCTATTGATGAGAATGCAAACTGGTACAACTCCTGCAGAAGACAGTATGGAGTTTCCTCAAAAAATTAAAAATAGAGCTACTGTATAATCCAGTAATTCCACTACTGGGTATTCAACCAAGAAATATGAAAATACTAATTCGAAAAGATATGTCCCCTATGTTTACTACAGCATTACTTACAATAGCTAAATTATGGAAGCAGCTCAAGTGTCCATCAATAGATGAAAGGATAAAGATCTGATATATAGACACACACACACACACACACACACAGGAATATTACTCAGCCATAAAAAGAATGAAATCTTGCCATTTGCAGCAACACGGATGAATCTAGAGAGTATAATGCTAGTGAAATAAGTCAGTCAGAGAAAGACAAATACCATATGATTTCACTCATATGTGGAATTTGGGAAACAAAACAAAGAAAAAAAAGACAAACCAAAAAATTGGAATCTTAACAATAGAGAACATACTGACGGTTACCAGAGGGAAGGTGGGTGGGAGGATGGGCGAAATAAGTGAAGGGGATTAAGAGTACATGATGAGCATTGAGTAATGTATAGAATTTTTGAATCACTGTATTGTATAGCATAAACTGATATAACACTTTATGTTATCCACACTGGAATTAAAATTTTTAATAAAAATGTTCTCAACTTCAGAAATAATTTTAAAAGCACAAAATATGCACACAAATAAATAGATAAAATTTAAAATATAAAAAAATACATATAAAATAATGGTTTAACAGCTTGTCTATGTAAAATAGGGATTGGAATACTGCCAAGTTGAAAGAACAGTTGCCTAACAAATGAAAATGTTCAAGCTCTTAAAGTCACCAACTTCGACCTTTTGGTTTTTGAAAATAGAATTTGTTTAAACCACACACACACACACAACACACGCACTGGCTTAACCAAAAACACATTTAAAAGTTTAAAACCAGACATAGAGTTCATTTAGGGAGAATTTGGGAAGATCAGATAACTTTAGAAAACAGAAAAATGTAAGCTATTGTATCAAACTGCATACTGGATACTTTTAATTTGAACAGCTTTCCATTAGAGTTCTGGCTGTATTCATTTATTGCTTTTTTGAGACAAATATCATCATAGTTTGCTGACAATGAAACATGGATTTTCTTACTGTTTAGTTAAAATAATTGTACAAGGATAATGAAGGGGGTTATCTTTCCTAATTTCTCTCTCTCAGAACAAGTTGGTAGACAATGATTTTTATTTGAGAAAAATGGACCAAAAAGAAACAAAAAAGAAATATAAGAAACTATGATATCTATTATATACTTATTTTTAAAAAATGTTCTTTTTACCTCACATGGTCCTGATACAATATTTTCAGCTCCAGCACATATTTCAGACTCATTCAGAGTCACCTTCCCTTGATGGTATAGGCTGCATTTCTCATTTCCCATAATATAGAGATGTGCTACTCGTAATAGACCATCAGAGGTGATGGCTAGAATGGGGTAAAAAATGTACAGTTAATGAGCACAGGATAAGCTGAGAAAAATAAGAGACAAATAGAATTGTTTTAAATAAAATAAGTATGATATTGCCTTATCATTTAAAAAATAGCTTACATCCAGTATAACCCCAGCCATAAACACTGCAAGTAGTTTTTTCAGGAATGGTGCATCCATAATTAGGTAAATCAATTGTACTAACAAAATCATCCAGGACAGCAGGCCTGAAAATAGAAAATACAATGGTAAATACCCTTGACTGAATTCAACACAAAATTAACAAATTAAAATTTAGTGTTAATTTTTAATATGAGATTAAGAGAGAATAAACAGTCTTGTTTCTTAAGAAAAGGGGAATGTCTTATTAGACATTCATACATATAATGTATGTAGTAGAGGTAGGAGTAGGTAGAGAGAAAGGAGTCACTTACTTGCTAATATTACCTGCTAAATGGTCACCGCTTTTTTTTTAATTTGTTATTTTACCTATTAAAGTTATCAAATGATCATTCACTAAGTTTTGGTTTTAGAGCAGGCTGATCAGGCTGTTGGTCAAACTTCATTTATTAATTTTTGAAAATTTTGAAGATGACTCTCTTTGTCTCTATGTACACACACACACATATATGACATGTGACATGATTTTTTTTTTGCTGCAGTATTTATTTATTTATTGACATGATTTTTTTTTAAAGATTTTATTTATTTATTTGACAGAGAGAGACACAGTGAGAGAGGGAACACAAGCAGGGGGAGTAGGAGAGGGAGAAGCAGGCTTCCCACGGAGCAGGGAGCCCGACGTGGGGCTCGATCCCAGGACCCTGGGATCATGACCTGAGCTGAAGGCAGACACTTAACTAACTGAGGCACCCAGGCGCCCCAACATGTGACATATGCTTTTATAATAAATTAACCTAAAAGAGAGAGAATAGCCATATAGCTGAAGAAAAAGCTTCACTAATTCCATTGTAGGTTAAAAAGGCAAAACATTCTCAAGCAACTAACCTAGCAAGCTTCAGTAATACCAGATCTGATCCTTCAGGCCCATATACCAGCTGGGAAACATTTAGAACCTGTTTGCGTTTCTCATCACCTCTTCCGTGGACATCATGAATCCCAAGCCAAGCTTCATAATCTTTCAAGTCTTTGTTTCTGAGTAAAAAATTGAAATGTAAAATATAATTTTAAATTGGGTGATATTGTTCAAACATATTATTATTTTAGCTTATAAGGGCAGATAAATAACCTAAATTTAAAATTTGAATCAAAGTATAATAAAGAGAAACACGTTTGTTATCAGAGATTCTGAAAGCTACAAGCACACATAAGCAAAAAGAGCTTTTAAGAGCTATTTAAGAAAAAAAAAACCTTTTGATTATGCTTAAGAGTAAATCACATGTCAAAAATTCTCAGGTAAAGCACATTACATGAATTATAATTTTCTTCAGATTTTCCTTCTTAGTTTTGTATATGTTTGGTTTATCAATGAGGATTGAAAATTTATACTAACAAAATCAATGACCCTGGTGAGAATCAGGAAGTAAGCTTACAAATGCTGCCTCCTTAACTTTCCTTAGGCTAATTCTCATTAAAAATTATTCCCAGGATGATTTTGAGGCTGGATTTACATAAGAAAGGAGGAGTGAGATTTGAGATAAATTTGTTGATAATTCAGAAAAGAATTTCTATCTAGACATTGAGCATGCAAGGAAGAGGTTGAGGAAGAATTATTTACATAATTCTAGCAAAATTTCCCCTCAAATGAGAGTAATGCCAATTGTGGAAAGAAGTGAACAGAAGCAGTATCCAGTATATATATCAATTAAGTCAAATTAAGCTTTGTGAGCTAAATCTGAAGAAAGAAATTAATTTGTTCATCCCTTGTTGGTGAATCTGTTAAATGAATACACATTCTAAGCCTAAAAGCTAAATGGAGGCCCTACATATTTTTAAGTGCTCAAAACAAATATTGGTTTCAGAAACACTTACCGAGAAGGGAAACATTGTCTTGCAGTAAGAATCCAACTTTCCTTTATCAATGATCCTCCACAGATATGTTTATTTCTATGAGAAAGAGGAAAGAGAAACAACATCTGTGTGAAAAGGGTGCCTGCCAATTAATGCAAAACCTATGGCTCCATTTGTTAAAAAATAAATGCATTTGAGGGGAAAATATAGAAATTAACTAGAATAAAATGAGTAATCCTTTGGAAAGATATTTGATGATTGTAGCACTAGCATTTTTTTCATAATGTGATTACAATTTTAGGAAAATAACTTTATTTTTGTATAAGGAGCCCTGTCACTACACACCAACATCCATTGCCAACATACATGTTCACATGTGTGTGTCTTTATCCTTGGGAGAGCAAGTATGTACTACAAAAATAGAATTTTCAAATAAACAAAAAAAACCCACAAAAGAACAACAAAAACAACATAGACCTCTTTAAATTCAGTGTCTGATTGTAAAAATGCAAATTTGAGTTTTTACCTAAACCGTGAAAACTATCTGATGGTAGTAATATATATTTGTACACTGTTCCCTTCTTTCATTACCATTATTTCTTTTTGATACATTAGAACATCGCTGAGTTTGAGTAAATTTGTTCACCTTAAAACAAGCAATAGAACATTTCACTTATAAAATGAAAACAATTTTGTAAGACATCATCTAGGAAATTATAAAATATTTGTAGAGAATAAAAAACACTAGTACATTTATTTGATGATATCCTAAATCTGTAGATGCATTATTCTTTTGGCAGAGAAATGGAAAAAGCACAACTTTTCACAATTTACATTTCCAAAGAATACAGATGTTCAGTGCTTCAGAGGGTAATAGAAGAAGGTTCCCAGACTAAGACCACAATTATTTATGGCCTGTACCACAGAGGAAGATGAGAGTATATATTGAGTTTTAATTTCTGTTCCTCTCAGTATGTGTTTTGGAAGAATAACTCAACAGCTGTTTTTACTAAGGACTTGGATTTAAAAGAAAAATATATTTATCTAAAAGTTTATACTACTCTAATCTGATGAAAAAGAGTTTCACCTGCTTCTCTAAGGATGGAGACTTCCAAAGGAGTATTCTTATACATTATCCCATGGGTAATAATAAATTTAGAAGTATATGCCCCTTTTTTTCCTGGAGTTATGAGATTTGCAAAGAATCACTAATTCATTCGGATATGTGGATTCCTGAAACATTTTCTTTCATAAAGAAAATGAATCACTCTTACCCCAAAATTGGCAGCCTTTATTAAATCTTTTATATTTCATAATTGGCTGTAATATTCTGGTGAGTTTCACAACTCTGTTTCAGTACTACACATCTAGGACAGCTACACTAATTTGTAACATAAATATTTGTAAATTTTGATGGGTTACTCCTTGCAAGAAGGATATATTAAAAGAACTTTGGGCCATCTTCTACTTGGTATCTGAAGTTTTATGTATATTTATATCAAAGGATATAAACTCCATGCTTCCTAAGAAATTGGCTTATTCATAAAAGAACTTTGGTTTCAAGTTGTGTTTATTCTATTTTAATGTCACTGTGATTTAACTGTAGCAAAAGATGTACTTTCTTCCTCTACTCTAGGAAGTTAGAGGTAAAGGAACAAAAAGGGTCTCCAAAAAGAGGAGATATTTGAGTTAGTATTCGAAGAATGAGGATTTTCCAGGCACAGAATATGGAGGAAGAAAGCTACAACATTTAGTGGGAACAAGAGCTTAAACATTTGGAGGGAGAAACATGGGGTGTCTTAAGAACAAGGGAAAATGTGGCTAGAATTCAGGTGCATTTTGGGGTAGGTTGTATGATGAGGTTCCAATAGAGACAGATACAAAGATACTTTAACATTCTGATTACCATATGACATAATATATGTAGTATATAGGGAGTTGTAAGATCAGATTTTAAGTTAACTCCTATTTTCAATATTTAACTCTTCCAACATAATTACTAATCTTAGTTTTTTATGAGTATATTGTGCACAGTGATTTTACTGAGAACATATCTTTGATCCTTAAGAGCATTGAAAAATAGACATGTCAAGAATTTTTTTTATCCATACTGAATAGTATAATAGCAAGGCTACTCAACTTATCAATATAATTTGTTAATCTTTTTTTAAATGATAAAATATTCTAGAACTTATAATTATTGTTATTTTCATTAGAATTACAATGACAAAATTTAGAAATTAAAAGCAGACGTAAAGTTTCTGATATGATTATGCGTAGGCATGTTAAAAAATAAAGTCATAATATCCTAGATTAGGAAAATAATTACATGTGTGTTACAACTACTACAGTGATATCAAGGTATAAGTAGGTTCTCTGTGTAGTTGTGTTTTCTCAATCACTCTGAAGTGTCACTTGTAATCAGAGACAGTGCCAACACCTGTGGGACCTCCATGAACATTTAAAAAGGCATTATCTCTGAAGGCACAAATTGTAAAATACAGGGCTATTTGGCAAGCAGAATATGGTCAGTCTCCTCTTGTGTCCCGCTCAAATGGAGGCCTGTGTGGATGGCACAACCATCCTGTTGGCAATATGACTTTTGCAAATAATTCAAATACATTCTATTTGTGTCTTTAATAATTACCTGTATTTCAAACTAACCATCCATCCTACATTAGTTCGCGTTGGAATTCCATTTACAACTCGTAATTGTTTTGTTTTGGCACAGGATATTACAGGATCTAAAAAGAGGACCAAAGATAAATAACATTTTGACAAAACATTTTGAAATAATCAATGCCTCTCAGTTTTCTTAAAGCAACGATAATTAAAGAATTGTAAATGTAATGTAAAATGTAACTACTGTAATTTTGTCAGAAAAACATTTGGGGGTAAAGAAGGTAAGTATTAAGACTGCAGTGTCAAATCAGGTCTAAAATATTTGCTATACTCGGGCGCCTGGGTGGCTCAGATGGTTAAGCGTCTGCCTTCGGCTCAGGTCATGATCCCAGGGTCCTGGGATCGAGTCCCGCATCGGGCTCCCTGCTCACCGGGGAGCCTGCTTCTCCCTCTGCCTCTCTCTGTGTGTCTCTCATGAATAAATAAATAAAATCTTAAAAAAAAAAAATGTTTGCTATACTCATCTAAGGAGACAAGTAACACAGAAAAATGAATCAACTCAAGGTATTTCAATATAAAATGAAACGATGTTATTTATAGTAGTTATTTCTAAATGTCAGTGGAAATCAATAACCTCAATAAAAAAAACTATGTTTTTTATTATGTCTGAATTTTTATGATAAGAATATAGAGCCATTTTGAAACAGATTACCAACATAGTATTTTTATGATAGAAGTTAATATAGTGATATTTTTCCATGAAGAAAATGATGACATCATTTCTGACATGTAGAGATTCAAATATATTATATATTTTAAAAGATTACTTACGGTCTAAATTGACTATTGTAGGTGTGGTATCACCTTCACCTGTAAAAATAATATATATATTATTTTTACACAATTCATACATACATATTTCTGTTATGTAGAACCAAAGCTATATACTGAAATGCAAATGCCCATGAATTGGATAACTCACTAAAATTCGTGACATTTTATTTAAAGATAAAACGTAATGGGCGCCTGGGTGGCTCAGCTGGTTAAGCAACTGCCTTCGGCTCAGGTCATGATCCTGGAGTCCCAGGATCGAGTCCCGCATCAGGCTCCCTGCTCGGCGAGGAGCCTGCTTCTCCCTCTGACCCTCCCCCCTCTCATGTACTCTCTCTCATTCTCGCTCTCTCAAATGAATAAATAAATCTTTAAAAAAAAAAACAAAACGTAATAGTATGCTTTTAGTAATTACATATCACTCTTACTGGGCAGTAATGAAGATACATGCCTCCTGGTAGTGGATAAAGTGAGGAAAGCCCTATTTTATGACTCTGGAGGCTCCCAGGTGTGTGATTTGATGAGTGTGTTGGCAGTTTGGACTACACTGCTGACCTCAAGAAGCTGTATCATTCTGGCAAGATGCCTAACATGGCAATGAACAATCCATTGAATAGCACTAATGCTTATTATAGTTCGCTTGGGCCATTCGTATAGATAGATTGTTTTTTACTCTAATTTGGGTGCTTTGTATTTTTTCTGAAAATCACTTTTACTTTTTAATATGGTTGAGGATAACTGAAACATCACATGTTTCAGAAAACTCTTCAAGAATTCTAGTAGATAGAAATCAATGTCACTAAGGAAAAAGAGGGATAACAAAATATAATTATGTTTTGTTAGAATATTTCAATATTGTTTTTTTCCACACTCATAAAAAAAAGTATAGAAAAAAGAGAACTGGGAACTGCTAGTTAATTCTAACTAAAACCTCATAACTTACACTTTTCATAACTTCCCTACTGGGGTTTAATGGCTGCAAAGAGAAAAGCTTGGAAGATGCTAGGATTTAAAAATACTTAGGCAATAATGAATGAGGCATAGGACATTTCCTGGAGTTTAATGTCTGACTATTCAGAATTGATGGCATGGAGTTTAGTCAGGCACTGTTTAGACCCAGGTGGTTGTTAATCCCTGGAAATGCGCTGAGCTCAAATAAACCGGCAACAAAACAATAAAGGCATATGGATTCCTTTGTAATACATGCAAATTTGATTGTTTTTTATGGAGGACCTCATGAGAATTAGTATATGCTAAAGGGTTTTTATTTATGTTCATTTTCCAGATCTAGATATTTTAAATGAATAAGGGTAAAGGCAAACATATAAATTTCATTATTTCCCTTTCCCTTTAGCTTAGCCTGGGGGGAGGGTTTTGTTTTAGAGTCAGCTGAGGTCAGTGTTTTAACTCATAGTACAAATTAGGATTGAGGCCAACTGTGGTCATTAAAACATCAAGGATATTGGTTTTTCCACTGAAATCAATTACTTGAAAATTCTAAAATTAAAAACTAGGTATTTATTCCTTCTGGTATTGTGATGAAAAAGACTAGACCTCTCTATCCTTAATTGTATTTCAAGTTTTCAATTTCTAAACATCAAGTTAATAGGTCAACAAAATAGTTCATTATTGTAATTTACTGCAGTATTTAAATTTAAGAAATATAGATACTGTTTATTTGGGACTTTAATAATTTATAGTTATTTTATACTTATTTTTCCTTTAAACCAATATTTCTCAAACTTTAGAATAAGCTGAAATATCACTTAAAATCAGATTTCTAGAGATTCTGAGTTGGTGGCTAGATTATGAGTTTTTAAAAAGCATTCTAGTTTCTTCTGTTGCACACTTTGAGCCCAACTTGGAGAAACTGCACTCTAGGACCTGACCATTTTACCATCAAATGCTATTCTTACTTCTTTTTGTTCCACCACAGTACTAAAATCTGAAATTTATATATGATACAAATCTTCAGTATTGATTCAACTTAAATTTAAAGGGAAACATGTCAATAATAAAAGTTTTACCTATGGAAGAGTAGGTAAATATGTGTGTGGGGGTTGTTTATATGGCCTCAGAACCAAATATGAGTTCTTACTGAAAAAACTTTCTTTAATGTATTCTTAAAGTTTCAGCCAAATTCAAAACCTTATGATGTATGGGGATTAACATAAGAATTAAAAAAAAAAAAACCTTATGGACATCACATATTTCTCCAGGCAGATATCTATGTTCCCATTTTCATTATGTAATTTAATATGAATATATATTTGTTAAATTATTATAGTTACATAAATGTCTCTACACTGAGAACTAACTGAAAGAAAAAAAATATTGTTTACATTGCTGTATACTTAGCATGTTCTAATATAGGGCTTTGCACACCATAGCAACTCAATTTAAAATTATTAATAAATGAATAAACAATACAAACTGAGATAGAAGTTAAGTTGTCCAAGGCACTTACAGTGAGAGAACTGAAATTCTTAACCTGGAAGTTGGAGTTGAAGCTCTTAACCACTACACTCTAAATACTTAATACTGAAGATTTTTCTAAGATCTACAAAGTGTGTATGTGTATAGATTAATATATACTTCTATAATTTTATTTTTACATATCTGATAATTTTTAAATGTGTGCTAATACTCTAAGTATTTTTTTAAAAGAAATAAAAACTTTTGTATGATTTGTAATACAAATGTACAGTGTGAAAATGATTTATACAGTCTCTGCAGTTAAGTAAATAAGAACTCAAATCCTCTAAAGATAAATTTTATTAGCCTTTCACCAGCAGGAAAATGTAAATAAATCCTGGCTATAAATATTAGTTAGAAAAATGACAGTATAAAAATATTTATTGATATTAATGTTCCAAATATATTGAAATAAAAATGAGTTATCTGCAATAGCATTTAATCAAATACTAGCGACACTCTGAAGTCTTCCGATAGCACATTACTAACTTTTAGTTTTAAAGTGTTAGTTGAAAATATGTTTAGAAAACATTTAAATTATTAGAGTCCTTTGTCAGGTTTATAAACCAAATCACAGTTCCCTGAGATTCTACAGAAGCATTTTACTCTTAACTGTGTCTACATGCAGTAGAACTGTCTTAGAAGCCTGACTTCTTTCCTTCTTCCTAGACCATTGGATATTTTATTAGCCTCCATTATTCTTAATCATAGAGACTTCACAAAAAGGTACCATCAGGTAAAGCTAATATTTTTAAAAAATAATCCTTAATCATTAAAAAGATGTATGTCCCAGAGAGGTAGATTTCTTTGCTTTGTAGTGTTAAAACTAGAAAGACATCTTCTAAAGAGGAACATTTTCAGGACCCAGGCAGACCCTAATATGAGAAAAATAGAAAATTAGGAACACCCGAATTAATTTGAAAGGCTATGCTTACAGCTGATGAAATAAAATATAATGATATGATATGCTATTTCTTTGCAAACCTATAAGGTGTTTATTTACCATTATGGATAATTTATTTCCTAAAAATAGGTTGGGAAGTTCCAAGTCTTAATTATAGCCATACTAGATGAAAATCATATTTAAGAAGTTTGCCTTTTTATGCTAAAATTTCATGAAACATGACTAGCGTTTCCATTTAAGGCAAGAAATTATCTTTTTAATTTGCCATAAAAATTATGTGTTTGTATTTCATGTTTTAAAGCAAACATCATTTCTTCAATCTAATCTTTTTAAAATGGGTACTTTTGTTCAAGGTACTTGCTACTAGCTTTTCTCACACAGAAAACATTCTTTTTTGATTTTATTGAGTTTTTACAATTTTAACTCCAGTATAGTTAACATACAGTGTTATATTAGTTTCAGGTGTACAATACAGTGATTCAACAGTTGTATACATTACTCAGTGCTCATCAAGATAAGTGTACTCTTTAATCCCCATCACCTATTTCACTCATCCTCCCCACCCACCAGGAGAAACATTCTTAAAATAGACTCTTACTGAACTTATACAAATATGTCCTTTTTAAACAGGAGATAGCTTAATATAATGTTTAAAGATGTTTGTTATAAACACAGAGCTATAAGATAGGTAGTCTAGTAAAATAGTCTTTTGCTACTGACTCAGCTTTATAATAAGCCTTTTTCACTCAATAGTATATGGAGGATATACTTCCATCTCAATATATATTACTCAGTGGTACTCAGTGGGGATAACTTTGTTCCCCAGGGGACTTTTGGCAATGTCTAGAGATAGTTTTTGGTTCTCATGACTGGAGGAAGGGGTGGTTTTATTGACATATAGCGGGTAGAGGCGAGGAACACCACCAAACATTTTATAGGGCACAGGACAGCTTCCTACACCAAAGATTTATGCAGTACAAAATGTCAGTAGTGCCGAAGTTGAAAAGTCCTGAGACATTTCTCCAAACTGACTTTCAGACAAGCTTTCCAATTCATAACGTAGCACAGTATTGAAAGACTCTGACTACCCGACCTTCACTAATATTGACATTAACAATTACTTTTTATTTGCCAACCTATTGGTGGAAATGATCTTATGTTTATACAATTTGATTTTTTCTTACTATTAAGCTTTAATGTATTTATTTATTTATTATACTTACTCTTGAAGATTCATTTTCTTCATTTTTCTCCTAAATTATCTCATTTTTTCTTACTAATATATAGGAGCTCTTTTATATGTGGTATATCAGACATATATATTTTACATATATCTTTTACTTTACATACTGATACTCTTTTAAAAATCATCTTTAAAAGAAATCATCTTTGACTCAGAGATGTGGATGGAATACTCTAAGCTTTTTAGTCTTTGGCTAATGCACTGAGAAGAAGTGAAAGCAACACTATCTCAGGTCTGTCCATGTGTCTGTTACTGGGCGGGGGCTTTGTTAGAGCTCTGCTATATTCACAGCTTGAACAGTTAGTATTGGGAGGGGGGTCTTTTCTGGTGTAGTCATATTACAATAATGGCCATTTATTGCTTCTGGATTTCAAATGAGGATCTTCTGAGGAGGAAAATCTTCTTTAAAAGGTCAGCAGAATGTCTCCTTGTCTACAGGAGAGATGAAGAAAGGGGTGTGTGTGTGTGTTGCTGTCTGGAATGCATCCCTACTTTAGGATTGACTCCAACCCTCCTACGTTTCCACCTCTGATTGAGGTATCAATTTAAAGGATATTCAGCATATTTAAAATATTTCACCTGAAGAAGATCATTAAAAGTACTTACAACGAGAAATAGGACAATAATCCCATGGAATGAGAGGATTTCCCGTGTAACACCAGGGACCATGGGCATCATCATCAGGATTCCGGCAGTAATTCTTATTCAGCTTACTAGCATCTGGCTCCCAGAAGATATGCCTGCATAAACAACAAACTCTAAACATCACAAGATGCTCATTTCCTCCAACAGAAACAAACTGTCACCAAGAAGAAAAAATCCTAACATGTAATTTTCATTATAGATAGAGTGCAAGCTTCTATTTGGTGTGAATTTTGGTTATTTTCTTTTAGACTTATTTTGTTGCTGTTCTTGCAGTTTGGAAACATGTTCTCTACTCAGGATTATGGAATAGGACTACATAATTAGCATAGATAAAATGATGAAAAATTTTGTGACTTTGCTTCTCTTTAATAATTACAGTGGCAAGGTGACCACCAACACCCCTATGCATAGAAATGGAGAAACACTGCCAGAAAAAGAGCAGATGACAAAGAAGATCAAGGTTATAAAATACATAGAAAAAGCAAGCTATTGCAAAAGTATTTTTCATGTTTCAGAAACATAAAAAGCATCACTAGCAACATCATTATGACAAAGGACAGAAAGATACTCTGAAAAATTAATAATAGTGTGCTAATGAAATAATTAAAATCTAAACTTTCAGTGACTATATACTTACAATATATGAGTTTTTGAAAGATAACTGAGTAACACTTTCTCATTTTACATCTTAACTAAGTTTATTACAAAAGAAAAGCAAAAATATTCTGTCATTTTATTAGACCATGCCCAGTCATAAAGCATCAGTATTTATATTTATTTTGATAAGATTAATAAAGCCAAATTCCAAATGGCCATCCTGACCAAGTCATGAAAACTATACAAGTAATTGAATTTGTTTTGGATTATTAATTACTACCATGTTTGAATGTAACTAATGGGTCATTTAAAACCTGGAAAGAGCTTGGCCAGGTAAGGTTGAACTATCTTTCCAAACTCAGGTTCATTTTCTGGACCAATAATAACAGTAAACACAAATAGTACTTACTATGTGCCAGATTCTATTTTATGTGATTTACATATATAACCTTAGACCAACCTAATGAGACTGGTTCTAAGATTATTCTATTTTATATTTGATGAAATAGAAATCCACAGAAAACAATTTTTCTGAGGTCACATGCCTTATAAGCAGCAGAGCAGAGGTTTGAACAAATGGCTCTTTCCAGAGTCAATGTTCAAAACCACCATTCTGTACTATGTCTTTACCCAACTGCAGCTTATTCTTAAACCAAAATGGTACCATGAAATTTTACCATTCATCAATTTACACAAATTGTTTTCAAATGACTTTTAACTATTTCCTAATGTCCAACCCAAACTCAGTGAATTAAGGGTTATAACCATGAGTTCCCTAAATAAATATGTCATATATTTCCAGTGATATGTTGGTAATGTTTAAAAGGGCACTCTGAGATGTGTAGGAAGTCTTTATTTGTTGTCCTTGCCAATTTCTGAGGTGTAAATTCTTCTGCCATAAAAAATATCAACTTTTCAATGTCCAAATCTTCAGAGATTTCTGAAGGCCGGATTGGTACAATTGTCTCTCACAAGTCCGTAAGAGCTAGATCCACCAAATAGCAGTGTCGAAATTAGCATTTAATCTTAATCATGCTAATTCTCATTTAAAATTCTGTAATGAATCTTAATGCTTAGGAAAAAATCCAAAGTTCTAAACACAGCTTACAAGGCCCTATATGGTCTTGCTACTGGAGAATTCCTTTTCTGTGGACATTAACCAAATTATACTATCAACCTTACCAAAATTATTTCTGATTTTCAAACACTTCAGTCTGTGGGCTTTGGGACAAGCTATTCTTTCTGCCTGATGTACTCTCTTCCTACACGTCCTTTGACCAGCTTCTACTTAACATATATCCTCCAATTAATTTCCCTTTCTCTAGGAAGACTTCCTGACCATCTAAATCTGGAAACTTCTTTGCACTCTCATAGCATAAAATATGCTATTTTTCATGATTTTTATAATATGGTATTGGCATTTGCTGTTGGCTGGCATTCTAGAGTGTGAGATCCATGAGGTTAGAATTCTGCTTATCTTTGAAATCCTAGAGCTGCAGTTTCCAATACAGTAGCTACTAGCCACCACATGTGGCTACTGAAGAATTGGTATGTGGCTAGCCCAAATAGGTGCTCTAATTCAAGCAGATCTTGAAGCTTTAATATGAAAAAATGTAAAAGATCTCATTAACAATTTTTTATATTGAATACATATTGAAATGAAAAGGCTTTAGATACATTGGATTAATAAGAAATATTATTTAAAATAGTCTTGCCTGTTTATCTTCACTTCTTTAAATGTGTCTATTAGGAAACAAAAGTACACGTGCAACTTACATATGTGAAATGCATATTTATGTTGGAGAGCACTGCTTTAGAACTCTCATTATTTGTTTGTGAAGTAAATTAATTGAAACCATATCATCCACTAGTAAGTGCATTTTGGAAGAGAATTAAAGTAGGACTAGAGGCAAAATAACTCAATCTCTCAGAGCCCTTAAGTTCTTTTTTTGTTTAAGATTTTATTTATTTATTTGACAGAGAGAGAGAGAGACACAGCGAGAGAGGGAACACAAGCAGGAGGAGTGCGAGAGGGAGAGGCAGTCTCCCCGCTGAGCAAGGAGCCCGATGCGGGGCTCCATCCCAGGACCCTGGGACCATGCCCCGAGCCGAAGGCAGATGCTTAACGACTAAGCCACCCAGGTGCCCCTAAATTCTTATTCACACATACAGAAATATCTTCCACATAGATTGTGATGGCCAAATAAGATAATAACTCATGGAAAGCAACCACGGCATAAGTACTTGATCAAATGATACTAACACTTTTCCTTCTATTCTACTGCATATGCTATTCCGGGATTTTGGTAAAAATCAGTTTTATGTCACAAGTATGTCTCAGACTTCTTTAGTAATTTAAAACATACTAGCACTATTGCTAGGGTGGAATGACAGACAGTGGCAGACATATTTTTCTGTGAATATGTCCAGTGTCGAAATCTCTAATTCTCTGAAATATATAGGTTTTTTTCAATTACATATTATACCATCCTTTAGTTGTAGAAAAATTTAATGTGTCAAAATAAAGCTATACCAGGAAACCTGTTTCTATAAGTTTTTAATAGTTAAGTGGATATTTAAGGTATGTATGTACATGAAAATGGTAACTTACTGATTTTTCATGAACTGATGCTAACAATTAATAATTATTATGAGAACACAATCATATAATGCACTATTTGAAACACTAGATTTGCCACTTAATTATGCACTGTCTTATCAAGTTATACAGTTGTTTTCTCAATATGACCATATCATCCTTGAAGGTGAAGCCAAAATGTATGCCCATTTTTTTATTAATGTCTCCCATGGGCACCTATCACAGAACAGAACACATAGTAAATATTCAATAAAAATGTGCTAGATTGAATTGCTTATTTAAGTTTGGGGGCTCCTGGGTGGCTCAGTCTGTTAAGCAGCTGACTCTTGATTTCGGCTCAGGTCCTGATCTCCAGGTCAGGCTCCCAGTGGGGAGTCTGCTTTAGGATTTTCTCTCTCCCTCTGACCCTCCCCCCTCCCCGCTTGCTCTCTCTCTCTCTCTCTCCTTCATATATAAATAAATCTTTAAAAAGAAAAAAGGTTGTTACATGAAGAGAATACACTAAATTGAGTTGCACAGAATAATAAATCTAATGTTTTTATCGGCTTACTATAATACATAAGAATAGAAATAGCAGTGTGCATATCTGAATATAATATCTGCTATATTATGAACTGAAAGAAAGATATTTACACACCTGTGCAAGTCTTCCATGTTCTTCTCCCACATTGAACATGTTAGTCCAGATCGGGTTTTGGATAAACTGCCCATATAATTTTTGCCATTCCCACGATAACAATCTAAACATAAAATATATGAAAGAGGACTAATGAATACAGGGAAGTATAGAACAAAAACATTTTTACAAGTATGCAAATTCATGAAAGTCAACGTAAAAGTTGACAACACACTCTGTACAAATCAAAGATACTCAAAAATTTCAAGTTAAAGTATCTTTATTTTCAGCCAAATTTCTTCTTCCTTAAAATAGGATTTATGTGTCTCATTACAAATTGAACAAAAAAAATCAAAGAAAAAAGTTACATGAGTGGCCCTTAGGGATACCAAAGAAATGAGAATTTTTAGAATGACATATATATTTCCCAGTATTTTCTTCAGAAAAAGTAAGCTCCACAGAAAAGTTACAAGAATGATATAATGAATACTCATATACTCATCGCATTTGTTTTGTTCTGATTTTCATCTTTCACGAGATTAACATTCTGAGTCACCCAAGCCAGCTGTTTTGCAAATGCTCTTTAATTCCATTTTGTCTGATTATTTTCTCATGATTAAAAGCAAGCTAAAGACGGGATTACGACATAGATGGTATTTTTTCCTTTTCAGAGCATTTTCTCTTGTAACATATGATGTCAGTTTGTTCCATATTTGGTGGTGAGTTTGATAACTTGGTTAAGTGATATGAAGGAAGATTGTTGGGGCCCCTGAGACTATCTTATTTCCAAATAAATTTTCAGAAAATGGCTTAAGCATACTTTGATTACCTTTGCATGAATTAGTCATTACTAGGCTGGTTTTAAAATAGTTGTTCTTCAATTTCCTACATTTCTTTATTTATTATCATTGTTTTCTTCTCCCCTACTCCTCCCATGTAAGTATTCTGTTACTACCACTGGTACCGCTGCTGCCATGGCTACTCCTACTAGTCATACTATTGCCTGTAGTAGAAGTGGGGCTCTGCACACTCTTCTGTCCTCTTTTTACTCAGCATTATATATAATCTACTCCTGTTGCTCATTTTGATACTCAAAACTGTTCCAAAGTTAGCTGATGGAAGCCACTTTAAACTGGCTTCTGCGCCTTTTACTGTGTCCCATATGGTTTTATTTTTCATTTTTCTTCCCCAGATGAGTAATCTGTGTTTTACTAAACATTGATAGGAGGGTCCATATTCCTAATTTTAAAATATCTTAAAAAAGAAGTCAAGTTCTTCCAAACATGTGAGCTGCAGTTCTACATTTGAAAAGAAACACTATTCCATATTTTAAAATAATAACACATATTTTAAAAGTGATGATCCATTAAACATTCCTGATTTTTATATGACTGAGAACTGTAGACTTGTAAAATGTTATTTACAAATATACATCAAGATTATTTCTGTTTTCAACTTGGTAAGCCGCGCGCCTGGGTGGCTCAGTCGTTAGGCGTCTGCCTTCGGCTCAGGTCATGGTCCCAGGGTCCTGGGATCGAGCCCCGCATCGGGCTCCCTGCTCAGCGGGAAGCCTGCTTCTCCCTCTCCCACTCCCCCCTGCTTGTGTTCCCTCTCTCGCTGTGCCTCTCTCTGTCAAATAAATAAATAAAATCTTTTTTAAAAATGAATAAATATGCTTTGTAATCATAATAAATACGTACAAGTCCTAATAAAAATTTTAAATAAATAATTTAATAATTTGTTCAAGAATCAGTTAACATAGTGAAAAAGTATATTCAACAGTCATGTTTTCAAATCCATGGATCACATTTCGTAATAACACTATGAGGAATTTGGGCTTAAATATAAAAACTCAAATAAGATAGGATTTGATACAGATAACATAGCAGTCATTCCAGTGCACAATAAAATTGCTTTCAGAAAGCAAAAACTTGTAAAATCCAATACTTGTACATAAACAAAATATACCAATGAAAACATTTTGCTCTGATGGTGTGTTTTTTGTTTCTATATTAGGAAAGTTTAAATCTTTAGCTGTTAGGTAGTAAATTCTTTAGATAGATTCTTACTTAAAGAAAGCAATTGTGCGATGCAGTACACTAGTGCTACTTTTTTATACATTTTTGGGTTTTTTGCATATATGTTTTCTGTATTGGAGGAAGACATCCTCCTTACCACCACTACCCTTTTATTTGAATAAAGGCTATGATATATTTTCTTTCCTTCTTAGTAAACTTTTTATTTTAGAATAGATTTAATTTATAGGAAAGTTGTAAGTTGGTACAGAGAGTTCTCATATACCACACAGTTTTCCCTACTTTTAATATCAGATTAGTATGATAGATTTGTCATAACTATTGAGCCATTCTGATGCATTATTAACTGAAGACCATATTTTGGTCTTCATGGTCTCAGAAATATCTTTAGTTGTTAACCTAATATCCTTTTTGTATTCTAGGATTCCACATGATACCACATTATCTTTAGTTGTCATATTTCCTTAGGCTCTTCTAAATGTGACAGTTTTTAGACTTTCTTATTTGATGACATCAGTTTTGAGGAAAATTGGTCAAGTATTTTTTTGAGCATTTTTTTAAAGATTGATTTATTTAAGGAGGGAGGGGCAGAGGGAGGGAGAGAATCTCAAGCAGACTCCCCCAGAGAACACAGAACCTGACACAGGGCTGGATCCCACTATCCCATGACCCTGAGATCATGACCTGAGACAAAATCAAGAGTGGGATGTTTAACCAACTGAGCCACCAGGCACCCCCGGTCAAGTTTTTTTTTTTTTTTTAAATGTCCATCAGTTGGGTTTGTCTGATGTTTTCCTCATGATTAGATATGGGTTATAGGTTTTTGAGAGGAAAACATGAGTTTTTTAGCACTTCTTAACTTACTGGTGAAAGATATTCCAGCCTCACCTTGTTCTTTTCTTGTCCCAGGCCTCCTGGAATCATCAATTTCTCCAAGGGGCCTTTGTTTATTTTAATGATGAAAAGTAAGAAGATAAGAAATAGGTGTCAAGGGTGCTTTTGTTACATGTGAATTTAAGCATAATTTCTATGTGTTTGAAGGGAATTTATATATACATACTATTTTTTTAGAAATCTCAACGTATTTTGTTAATTACTTAAGTTTTTTGGTCCTTTAGTTTTTAGTTTCAGAATTTTTATATATTAAAAATATTTTCTCTTTATCTGTAATATGCATTTCAATACTTAGACCCAAATTTGTCATTAGTCTTTTTATTTAAATATGGGTTTGGGGGGCACCTGGGTGGCTCAGTTGGTTAAGCATCTGACTCTTGATTTTGGCTCAGGTCATGATCTCAGGGTCATGAGATAAAGCCGCATGTTGGGCTCTGCACTGGGCATGGACCCTATTTAAGATTTTCTGTCTCCCTTCCCTCTCCCTCTGCTCCTCCCCCCACCCTGCTCCTGCTCTATCTCTCATGTTTTATTTCTCTCTCTAAAAAAGTAATAATAATTAAATAAAATAAAAATAAATGAATGAATATATATGTGTATATATATATATATATAGTGTATGGGTGTACATGAGCGTTTGCCTCAGTAGGTTTGTAATGTAGTTTATAGTTTTTTTTTTCTTTTGCTTCCTCTAGATTTTGAGTGTTAATTAAAAAGCTTTTCACCATATCTAAGTTAAAAAGGGATTCTTCCAATTTTACTTCTAGTATCTATATGGTTCTCTTTTTTTAAATTCAGATCTCTTATACATTTGAAGTTTATTTTGGGGTATGGTATAAGGCATGGATTTAATTTTATCATTTATAATTTTATCCATTATTATACTTTAAAAGTTCATTTTTCATCCAGTGATACATAGTGCTACATTTTTAATAAAATAAATCTCTGTAAGGAGTCTGTTTCTGCCCTCTGTGTTTTTTCCAATTGTCAATTTATTCATTGCACTAGAACTAAAGTCTTAATTACAAGCTCTTTATAAAATGTTTTAATATCTGATAAGGTTAATTACCTCTAATCACCCTTATTTTTCAAGATTTTACATAATATACTTACGTGTTTATTCTTCCAAGAGAACTACAGAATGAGGTTTTTTGTATCAAAAGAAGACTTATGGATCTATTTCTTAATATCACATTACATTTATAAATTAACTTAAGTAGGAGTGCCTAGATGGCTCAGTCCATTAAGCGTCCAACTCTTGATTTTGGCTCAGGTCATGATCTCAGGATTTGAGATCGAGCTCCATGTCAGGCTCCATGCTAAGCATGGGGCCTGCTTAAGATTCTCTCTCTCCTTATTCCTCTGCCCTTCCCCTGCTAGCGCGCGCTCTCTCTCTCTCTAAAAATAAATAAATAAATAAATAAATAAATAAATAAATAAATAAATAAGGTAGAATTGATGTATTTACGATGTTGAGTTCTAATATCAAAAACAAGGGATGCTTTGTCCCATTAAAGTACACTTTGTGGCTTTCAGTGGTGATTTTAAAATGTTATTATAAAAATTTTGCATATTTCTTTCTAAATTTATTCCTGTTTCCATCACTTTTGTTGCTATTATAGATATTGTTTTCTCCTTAATTAAATCTACAAACTCATATATGAATGTTACTCTAGTGAATTTTTTTATTACTTGAATTCAATTTTCAAAGTATATTACTATTACATAATTTGCATAAAGATCTTTTGCTTTTTTACCCAATCAATATGCTTTCTTATTTATAAAGAATAATATCTCCAATACAGTGTTAAAGAGGAATATGTTAACCTATGTTAACCTATATTTTACAATGTTAAAGAGTAAAGATAGTATATTTTCTTGTTTTCTTTTTTAACTTCCTAAGAACGTCTGTAATGTTTCCCCATCAGGTATAATGGATAAATGCTTTCTTGTATGTGGGCATGTCTATGTGTCTATATGTGTATATGTTAAAATGTGAATATATATTTTAAGGTAGTCCCTCTCTCTATATATAGATAGATATAGATATAGATATAGATATAGATATAGATATAGATATAGATATATGGGTATGTGTGTATAGTGTGTGTATTCCAGAAATTCTTATTTGGGTACTTTTATGAGAAAGGAGTGAATTTTGTAACAGGAATTTCAAAATTTGTTGACATTTATTATATGATTGTTTTTCTAAGAAGAATTATTTTAATGGGTTTCTAAAACTGAATCATTTTTGTTCTCAGACTAAACTCCATTCAATCATTATGTGTTATTTTTTAAGTTGCTTTATCGGATTTTTCACTCCTTTCATTTAAAATTTTTATATTCACAAATGAGATAAGTTTACTGTTTTTTTCCTGTGTTATCTTCATCATGTTTAGGTATTAATATTATAATGTCATCACTACTGGTGGGAGTTTTACTGTATTTGTTGAGCTACATAGCGATATATGTAGCACTGAGATTAAGTGTGTGAGCACATCTAGGCACATTGAGATTAAGTGGTCTGTGAACACATCTAGGCACGGTATATTGTTGATGGAACAGTTTTCATTAATAAATTCCCATATTTCTTCTATAAGAATAGGTCTAATTCTTTGACTAATTGAATTGATCAGGGGCAACTCAATTCAGATAATTTTAATTTTCCTAGTAAATTATCCATTTCATTTTTATTTTCAAAGTTTCTTACATGAGGTTATATAAAACAGTATTTTATGTCTTCTAATTTTCCTGTTTCAATGGTTATTTCCCCCTTGATAGTTACCATTTTATATTTTCATCCTTTCTTTTTTTCTTGGTAGTTTTCCTTTTTATACTGCTTTCGGCTTACTTTTTTTCCCCAACTCTAAGTTTGAAATTTCATTCACTTTCTTCATTATTTATGATATTGATATAACCATTTATTTTTTTAAGATCTTATTTATTTATTTGACAGAGAGATAGAGAGAGAGCACAAGTAGGCAGAGAGGCAGGCAGAGGGAGAGAGAAGCAGACTCTCCACTGAGCAGGGAGCCCGATGTGGGGCTCGATCCCAGAACCCTGGGTTCATGACCTGAGCCGAAGGCAGACGCTTAATGACGGAGCCACCCAGGCGCCCCTTGATATAACCATTTAAAGCTATGACTTGCATCCCGTTTACTGCTTTAAATATATATTATATAAGTTAACAAGTTGTTTTAAAAACATTTTTAAAGAAAGTCTGTAATCTCACTTTTCATTTTTTAGTTTAATATTGTTTAATATTTGTTTAATATTTAATTGGAAGAGCATTCACATATATGCTAATTCAGATGTTGCAAGACTTAGGAAGAATGTTTCTGATTCATCAGTCTATTTGTGTTTATATGTTATATGGAGAAGGATAAGAGCAGCATCCTTCCGTGTGTATGTATGTGCATGCATACATGCATATCACATATTTAGCAATGCATACCATTAGCTTCGCAGTATCACACAATGGCATAACCATTAAAACTTCACAGTTTTAGGTTGGATTAGCTAACAGTGTCTGTTAAGTGGATTTCTTCATTTTTAACTGGCCCCACAGAACCTAGCACATTGTTGCATGTGTTGCATGTATCAGGTATAATATATTGTTGAAAATAATATAACATATTGTTAAAAGTAATGGAAAGGTCATTCTAAGGAAGGTTATATTCAATCCCAACTGTGCTAATTTGAGAATTTAGGCAAGTTATCTAAATTTCATAAAACTAATTTCCTCATCTATTAATTTCTAGATTTTTTAGATAAACAGTATCATCAGCTTAACTTGTACGATCCAAAATTCTCATACTGTGTTACCTGATTCTTTGGTAAGTGATATATATGTACATAAAAGCATCTTAATATACATAAGAAGCTTATTAAACAATTGTTCTCATTTCCCTCTATCTCAAATTATCAGTGCGTGTTTAAATGAACAATACAGGGACAAAGAAGATCCAGCTGGTACTAAACCTCCTTTAAACATCAGTTTCAACTTTATTTCCAACTGACCTTTAAAATCTGCCAAAGAACAGTGAAATTGACTGAAAAGGGACTGAACCCCTCTTCCCTCTACAACTTTTAACAGTTGCTCATGAAAAACGGCACTGCAGAAAAAGTTAAAGGATGGAAGAAGTATGTATAGAACAATAAATCTATGAAATGGAGCTTTAAATTTGGCTTGGGCTTTTTAGGATGATTTAGGACTGACCATGACCATCAAAATTAAATTTATGAGAAAGAATATGATTATTTAAAAATCATAACCTTCAATTCATTATATACTAATAAATGCTCAGATTCCAACATCTTCATTAATCTTTGACAAATGATTTATTTTTTAACCTATTTCAGTCTGACTTTTCTCTGCTGCTCTCCCTGAAACAGTGATCTTCAATGGCATATATGTTTCCCAGTATAATGGTGATTTAACCCAAACCCCACAGCTACACATCATCTCCACTGCTGACCCCCCAGGTCCACATCACTCTCCTCTCTTTCCTGAGTTACTGAAACAGCCGCATAACAAATTCTCCTGTTTGGGAGAAGTTGTCAGAAGTTGTCATAAGTTCTGGCTGTTTTCCATAATGCACCCAGAGTCATCCTGTTAAAACTTAAACCAGACAGATCATCTAATTTATCTTTTCGGAACCTTACAACAGAATCCCTTCTCTTTCAGAATAAAAGTGTAAATCCTTCCAATTCCTATAAGGCATATGCGATTTTAGTCCAACTCTTCTCTAACCACATCCCCTGTGACTCTCCCCCTTGCTCTGTACTGGCCACAGTGGTGTGCTTGCTGTCCCTTTCCTTTACTTTTCAAACACTGTGCCTTCTCATGCCATTTGCACTTGCAGTTTCCTCTACCTCGAATGCTATTTACAAATATATGCACATGGCACACACTGCTTCTTCCAGGTGCTCCTTAAGTGTTCCCTTGGTATGTCAGATCTTCCCATACCATTCAAATATGAAATAACAACACCCTCCGCTCTAACCCTGGGACATTTTCTCTCTGGCACTTACCACAAACTAACTTATTCCCACTTCCATTTTGCTTGTTTTGTTCCTGTTTTCTGTTTGCTGGAGTTTCTGGAGTTCCACGGAGTCGGAGAATTTTGTTTGGTTTACTAGTTATCCCCAGTGTCTAAAACAGTGCCTGGCACTAGTATACGCTCAAATAAATAAGTGAGTGTTGAGCCAATGAATGTATAAAAGAAATGCAACTTCAGACTTGGTGATTTTGTTTGGGAACCAGCAAACCAGTGCAACAAGAAGTAGGTCTCTCTTGAGGCATTTCCCCTGAATTTAATCATGTCCACCCTGCAAAATGTCAGCCATTACCTTGTCCACTTGACACATCACATTTTGGAATTTGGGAGCAGTAGCCAACTCGGATGTTTGGATCAGTGGTAAAACACCAGGGTGATTCAGCTCCATCTGGATTTCGGCAATAATTTTCTCTTAGGTCCCTATTGAGAATAAGCATGTTAATGTAAATTGCCTGAGTTCTTACAAATGGTAAGTTAGCGCGGTTACATTTCTAGAATCCCAGAATGCATGCATGTTTATAAATAGAGTTCTAAGTTTTAGATTTAGGATAGTTATAAAAATTTAGAATTCAGTATACACAACTGACATTGCCCATATTACTGAAATAAAGGCTGTCAGATGTCTGTATTCTTTTCATTCCACAGGCCCAGAGTTCCACAGAAACACTACTGCTTCATGAAAGGGAAAAAATAGTACCACTTCATTTTTCTCACTCATTCTCAACACTTGGACTCTCAACTATTACAATTTAAAAAAAAAACTGGCCTATTATTTATTATGTTTTCATGGCCCATATATAATGTAGAAACAACATGTATCTCTCTGCTGAAGAAAGGCTATTATGAATAACTGTTAACTACTCTCATTTAAAAGGGAAGTTCTACCTATCCAAACATTTGATACAAAAAAAAAAAACACGATAGCTATTTCTTCCTTGATTTCTGTACTTTTTTTACTTAATTTGCTGCATAGATTTCTTTCCCTTACAAAGTACCTCTTTATTGATTTACAAAAGTTATTTGAAATTTTATAAATATTTCTGTAAAATTAAGGCCTTTTTAAAGTTTTTTTTAGTTTTTTATTGTTATGTTAATCACCACACATTACATCATTAGTTTTTGATGTAGTGTTCCATGATTCATTGTTTCTGTGTAACACCCAGTGCTCCATGCAGAACGTGCCCTCTTTAATACCCATCACCAGGCTAACCCATTCCCCCCCCCTCCCCCCTAGAACCCTCAGTTTGTTTCTCAGAGTCCATAGTCTCTCATGGTTTGTCTCCCCCTCCGATTTCCCCCGCTTCATTCTCCCCCTCCTGCTATCTTCTTCTTCTTCTTCTTCTTTTTTTTTTTTTTAACATATAATGTATTATTTGTTTCAGAGGTACAGGTCTGTGATTCACCAGTCTTACACAATTCACAGCGCTCACCATAGCACATACCCTCCTCAATGTCTATCACCCAGCCACCCCATCCCTCCGCACTTATATTTTAAAAATTTATGTTGGTATAAAATATGTGCATTGAGTTTTACATCAAGTTTACACAACTTTGCTATTTTAGATGAATAATTGCTTAGTTAAATTCTTCTAAATATGTGTACATACACAATTTCTTACATGAGTATTATTACCAGTCATTAGAAATTAACAAAACATGTGAATGGCACTGACACTGTCTCCTCTCTTTGTCTCAACTAATCTTTCCTCATTTTCTTTGCTTTCTCTACTTCGGTATTTATTTCTGAGGTGTGAAACACATGGGTCAGGAACAGAGACAACTGCTATGAAGAAAATGAGGGAAGCAAACCCACAATGACAAGTAAAATTTTATTATAAAATAATGAAAAAAAATAATAACATGAATATTTACTAAGCAAATACATTGAATTAACTAAAACAAACAAAACAAAAAAACACCTATAAAATATCTCCTGTCTCCAGTGGATGGACCGACTAGTGCTCATAATTCTCCATCTTGAAATGTTAAGCTCTCTTATTAAAAGCCAATTACATAAAGCCAATATATGTTATTTATAGGCGCTATTTCAGCAAAGCCACTACGAATGGCACGTGTGTTATAAATTTCAAAAGCAATCATTTTATGTTCCTCATAACAAGGAGGACAATTTAAAAACACATGGCATTGTGGCTGTTCTGTGTAGCAGAAGTCAAGTGGTGAAAAAAAACAGCCTTGGAGAAGGTACATAACAGCAATATAATTGATATTCAAGGGCAGTTTCTTTGGCTTGATTGGTCTAAACAATTGTTTTACTTTCCCACTCTTGAAAGGAAATCTAGAAACAGCAGAAAACATATTTAAAATTTTAAAAATAATATTGCTTCAAGGTCAAAAACGCATCAGTTTACATTGTTGATTGAAATCAAGGTATGCCTCTTCTTGTGAAAGAAAAAAAAATATGTAATCTCCCTTAAAATTAATGTGAAGTTTTAAGAAGGCACCAATTTGAAACTTGCCTGGTTATCATTACCGCTAATGATTTATTAAATGCACCTGCAAAATCAAAGCTGTGATCAGAAACCTAGGGATATGTTTCCCAAAATATGGTACATCAACCATCTGATTCAAAAATACCTAGAGTATTCATTAAAATCCATATTTGAGGTCCAGATCTCAGACCTAAGGAAGCAAAATATCTGGGTGGATGAATCTGTCTTTTAACTCCTGATTGTCCCTAGGCACACTAAAGTTTAAGAATTTCTAACACAGAAATTAGTAGAGTAACCATTTCACCTCATTTCCTGCAGAGTCTACTGAAATTTATATGTGCCTAATATACTCACTTGCACTTGAAATTTTCAGGAGTTATGTCATGCTGGTGAGGATACTGGGAATCCCAACGCTGACATGGAATTCCATTCCAAATAGTATTGATGGTGCCCCGGTAACCTTCTCCTTGACTTTGAATGCATTCAGTCGTTTCCATAGGGACATCTGTGTCATTCATAGTACTGTGAGCTATTGGTAAAAAGAAATATTAAATTTAAGTAAAATCTTTTAATCTGTCATCTACCTCTTAGTTTTAATTTGCATATGTATTACTAGGGTTTTCTGTCACATAGGTTTTTATAAAAATTGAGTAGAATAAAAATTCAAGTTATCATTATTGCTATCTCACTCAATCTAAAAGAATGAGTTACCATGGTGGACTCAACTGTAGGATTTCTCTGATCATGAAACAGAATATTCTAGCTTGGTTTTATCTAGACTAGTTTGAGAGAGCATCATATAATAGCACTTAAATTTCTTGGATCTGTCTATTCATTCATTAATATTAGTTGTAAAATCTTTCTATTTATTAATTTTAAATATGTTTTTAATCAGTTTTCTTACTTTAGAAATTGAAAAACATCTATAAGTAATATAGTGACCACATAGGGAGAATAAAAAGCACTATGTTGGGGCACCTGGGTTGCTCAGTCACTTAAACATCTTCCTTTGGCTCAGGTCACCATCCCAGAGTCCTGGGATGGAGCCCCATGTCATGTCCCCTGCTCAGCGAGAAATCTCCTTCTCCCTCTGCCTCTCCCCCTGTTCGTGTTCCCTCTCTCTCTCTCAAATAAATAGATAAAATCTTTTTAAAAAATAAATAAATAAAAAATAATGCTATAAGTTTGGCCATAAAAAAATAAGAAAAGGAAAAGTTGGTCTAGAGAACAGTTATTTTTTAAAATAAATTAATCATTATTATTATCTCCATTCAAGTTTTCTTTTCATTCAAACACTAAAATAGTATATTTTGAATAATTCTTTAAAGGCATTTTACTTCCATATGTCACTATAACTAATATATGCTGAATAGACAGTATTTCTTTTTCCTTTTTAAGATTTATTATTTATTTGAGAGAGAGAGAGTGTGCAGGGGGAGGGGCAGAGGGAAGAGCAGGCTCCCCCTGAGCAAGGAGCCTGATGTGAGACTCGATTCCAGGACCCTGGGATCATGACCTGAGCTGAAGGCAGATGCTTAACTGACTGAGCCACTGAGGCATCCCTAGACAGTATTTCTGAAATGACTATACAATTAATCCTAATTAGTTTGTTTAAATACATATAAAAGTTGGTAATCATATTAACCATGGTTTTCCTCCAGTCTGATAAATATATTCTAAGCTGGTATGTTATTTTTTTTAATCAATTTGTTAGTATTAAAAGAAATCAGTTGTTTTTAGGCAGATTTATTTCCTGTTTTTTTCCTAGTCCAAATACAATTCTTACCACATTTCATGCAGATCATAAAAATCTCCATAACAAAGTAAAAAAGTACAAACTTAAAATTTTACTACAACTTTGACTTTTGTCTTTAATGTTTATTTAAATGAAATGTAACTGAAAACTTTCTACAGCAACTAAAATTCATAACACCTTCTCAAAACATACATGAAAATATTTATGGTTCAATAGAGTAAAGTCAATGTAAACTCCCCAGTTACCTTTACAATCTAAATGGTCATTAAAGATGTCCCTGGATAAAACTCAAGCTGACACACTCTAAGACAGTTTAGGATTTGAATAAATGCCTTTGATTCATCCATTCTGGAATTATATGTATCATTTCTCAAAAGAAGTCAGAACTAGACATGCCTTCAGAGGCTGGGGATGTCTATAAAAGTGTTCCATATTTAATAGTGTAAGTTCTTTTTAAATGACTCCTCAATTTTATTTAAATTTATTTCTGAGCACCTGGCTGGCTCAGTCGGTTAAGCATCCAGCTCTTGATTTTGGTTCAGGTCATGATCTTAGGGTCGTGGGATTGAGCCCCAAGTGGGACTCCATGTACAGTGGGGAGTGTGCTTGAGATTCTCTCTCTCCCTCTTCCCCTCCCTCCGCTCACACGCGCTCTGGATCTCTCTAAAATAGATAGATAAATCTTTAAAATGAATGAATGAATGAATAACAAATAATAAATACATAAATAAATTTCTTACAAATAATTACCCTTTATGGGGCGTAATGTTTTATTTCATTGAGTTCCATGCAAACTAAGGGGAACCTAAGTTTGGAGTTATTCTATGAAACTCAGTGAAAAAGAAGGAAGATTAATTAATGACCATGTCAACCCCTGGAATATGTTGTATAAACAGATTTCCATAAATTGCCCTTACAGTAAATTTTCTTCAGTTCCATTTAAAATATGTTTTTATTTCTTATGTATCTACTGCAGGGAATGAAAATTTGGCTCAGAAATACTTTAAATTAAAAGGAACTTCAAATGGAGATAAGCAAAATGTCCAGAGGTTGATCCACAAAGTGGTCATTGAGAGTTGATTTCTGAGAGTTAATATATACTGATATTGGTAACATATATCAATTCAGGAAGAACAAAATTTATTGGCCTGAAGAAATGACTTGTATAGAAAAAGTTAGTGCTAGTTAATCAAGTCCTTTATGATTTTAATATTAAAGTTCTTAGATGAGGGGCACCTGGGTGGCTCAACTGGTTAAGCGTCTACCTTCGGTCATGATCCCAGGGTCCTGGGATCGATTCCCTCTCCCTTTACCCCTCCCCCTGCTCGTGCTCTCTCTCAAATAAATGGATAAATAAAATCTTTAGAAAAAATAAAATAAAGTTCTTAAATGAAATAGAAAGTAAGATGGATTTTATAGGTCCTCAGGAACAATATTTTATCAAAACAAATGCCACCAAGCTACTGTATTTCTGATGATTTGAGTTAACTGTTAAATGACTTGAGGATACTGGGTGTATGTGGAGGGGGGGCATCTTTAAAGGGTGATAACTTTAAAACAGTTAAAATGTCAAGCTTGTACTGACATATTTCATATCTAATTACAAAACTAATATGTAAAAAAGACAAAAACAAGTGTCTCCAGGAACCTCTTAATTCATTACCTTAACATTTTAAGAAGAAAAGTTTTTTTGTTTTTTGTTTTTAGAGAAGCAGGCTCCCTGCTCTCAGCAGGATGTGGGACTCCATCCCAGGACCCTGGGATCATGACCCAAGCCAAAGGCAGACACTTAACCGACGCAGCCACCCAGGCGTCCCAGAAGAAAAGTTTTTATTTCCCCCGCTTCTTGGACACAAGTTCCTGGGAAGCAAACTGAGTTAGGATTTAGAACCCAGACAAGGGGAGGAAGGTCAGATTTAGGGGAGCCAGAGCAAAAGTACTTCAATTAATCTTCTTAGGGACTTCATTGTCTGTCGTGGGTACTTCTACTGTCTTACTTTCCTATGTATTTGTGTGTGTTTGGTTTTATTTGTTTATTACCGACCTATTTTTCTCAACTATTACTGTGACATTGTGAACATGTAATCTAAAAACCCAGTCTTGGTGAGTTTCAAGATCAATAAGGGCTGGATACGGGTCCATCATATCCTACTGAGAACATAGCTAGAGGCTGAGCCCATGAGAGATTAACATCCTCTGCTCCTTGGACGCTACAATGTCAATATAAGATTAAAAATCAGATATCATTTCTAGAATGTGTTATTAGACAAGAGTAATTGGATTTTCAAAGTAATTTTTTTCATAAATACCTTTATTAAAGCGACATTTTGTAGAAATAACCCATGACAATTAAAATTTGAAACACAGAGCCTTAAACTCAAAACAATTTAATTTTACTTTTTTTAATCAAAGGAGAGATCATTAAACAAATATTATCATAATTAATGAAGAAATCAATACCTACAAAATTCAGTGAGTAACCACATGTTCATCAGAAAATTTTAAGAGGAATCATAAAATTTTAGGGCTAGTAGAAAATGAACGTTTTCCTAATTTGAGGGAAAAGTTTTCAAATTTTAGGAGTATCTGTGAAAAGAAATACCTATATTATAAAACCCTAAGTAAAAAAAAAAAAGAAAAAACTTGAATAAAAATATTGAGGAAAATATTTCACTGTTGATTCATCCACTAAAATTCCAGTGTCAAGTTCAGAGACCTAATTGTTGGTACTAACTTTGCACCTCAACTGCAGAGGTCCCCAACAAGTTTTAATTAAAGATTTTTTCACTGCAATCATAAAATCCTCATTTGAACGATTTTGCTGAACACTTTTTTTCTTAACTTTCATCAGTATAATTAAAAATCTTTGATATAAATCTAAGGAATCACTAAATATTCACTTAAAGACAGTGTAAGTTAAAATGAGTAAATAAAAAACACAAGTTTGGATTTGTTTTAAATAATTTGGATTATTTAACAGATTCTAATCTTTTGGTGGAAACTCAAACCTTTTGAAATTACAAAAATTACACAATACAAAGAACTAGTGCACATTAATAAAAATAGAGCATAGTACAGAATAAATATAACTTTTCATTAGATGTTGCTATAGACCAAATGCTTGTGTCTCCCCCAAATTCATATGTTGAAATCCTCTTATTAGACAAGAGTAATTGGATTACAGTGATGGTATTAGGATGTAGGGCTTTTGGTGGGTGATTAGATTATAAAGGCAAATCGTTCATGAATGGGATCAGTGCCTGTATAAAAAAGACACCACAGAGCTCCTTCACCCCTTCCATCATGTGAGGAATCTTCTGGCACCTTCATCTTTGACTTCCCAGCCCCCAGAACTGTCAGAAATAAATGCCTGTTGTTTAGAAGCCACCCAGTCAATGGTGTTCTGTTAGAGCAGCCCAAGACAGGCCTCAACAAAATATATATAAAAAAAAAAATCTAATAATATTCTTTTTTTAACTTTTATTTTAATAAGCATCCATAACTTTGAAATATATAACCTCAAACAACTTGATGGCTTTATTTATTCTTATGTTTTAATTCAGTGGAAATATTCCTTATGATTTTAACTATGAACTAGCAGTATTGAGATAATATTTTTCATTAACTAAAAAGTGCCCTCTGAAGTTAGCGTGTCTGTATTTATCCCATTTGACACTCAGCTCCTACAAGTGACCTCATAAACAAAAGCTACATGATTTCTGGTGGCAATTATAGAGTAAAATGAAACTTCATGCATATTATTTGGACACATA